CACTCGACAACGCTGTGGTCTCTGTGCACACAATCTAATGGAGACACTGAAACACAATCAAGACCCTGGTGTATCCTCTGCTCCCCTGGGCTCCTGCTCCAGCCGCTACAGACTTGAGCCAAGTTCCATCCCTTCTCCATTCTCTTCCCTTACCTCTTTCCACTGTTTACCTACGAAGGGAAACTCTTAAGAGTTGTTGAACAAAAATCTAGGAAAATCAGATTTCTATTTGTTCCCATGTCAGAAGGACAAGGCTAAGGGCTGCAGGAGATAGATGGCTGCAGATTGAGGTCAGAGGCGGCGACACCACTGAGGAGGAATGCTCCGTTAATCTAAGTCTAAAATAATCCAGTACCACGGCTGCAGCAGAGAGAGAGTGAGGGACACCAGGACATTAGATTCCAACAAGCTGGCGGGGAGCATTGTCTGAGGGAACTTCTAGCAACAAAACATAGAAAACAAACAAATTCGGTCCAGAGGGTGTTAGGTTCAGAAAGAGGGTAATTTGCAGAGTTACAGACAGTATCTTCTCTGAGCATTTGCTTGGTTCCTTTTGCTGGCTTTTGTGCTGGTTTTGGTCTCACGGTGGCAACAAGATGATCACAATTTCATACCTCAGATCATCCTTGAAACCGTGCAGAGAGGGGAACATTTTTAGAATCTTTCAGAGAAGAACAAACTCCTCACTAACCCCTTCATGGGAGGATTCCAACAGACTCCTTCCTTGAATCAGGTCTAGTGTTCATCCTGAACGAGCTGTGCCAAGGAAATTGGCTAACTTTGAGTTATGGTGAAGCCTTCCTGAAGCTGAGGAAGGGATTCGCTCAGAAACAGGGGTATTGTGTTTGCGTGTGGGGAGACTAGAAATGAATAAAAGCAGCAGCCCAATCCAGGTCTTGCATGAATGTGGGGAGGTGGGTGTGGCAGGTGTTCAGCAGGAGAGAGGAGGGAGCAATGTCCGTAGTCACTATGCCTCGGTTCACGGGGTCACATGATCAGGTAGATTCACCAGGAACAAGAAGGCAGGAGGCAAGTTTGGAGCAGAGAACAGCTTGGATGGGAATGAGACACATCTCTATAAAGTTGTGGGCTTGAAGCTAAAATGGGTTTGGATTATAGATATAGTTTTGGCTGTTAGAAAAGACATTAATAGTCTCACCTAGCCCTGAGCCCTGCATCCTACAATACCGACTTTCCAGATAACATGTGCCCACCGGAATAAAACAGGCGCAACCGGTACAGGGTAACTAGCCACTTTCTGATTGGAACTGAAGCCTGTACTGCAGAAATGAATTTGGTGCATCATGTTGTATGTAATTCTTGTCAAAAAAATCCGTGACTGAAGTGGCCCTAGGACAGAATCTGCAATTGTTATTTACTAAGCAGCCATGTTGTAAAATTGCCTTCTAAATTATGTTCATACCCGAAGACCCAACCATGATCAGAGAAGCTTCTTTTTGTAAAGGGCAATATCAAAGCAGAAACTCATAACTGTTCCACGTTCTGAGAATAATAGACCAGGAATACTTACCCCTAAATAGGACATCTTCACAACAGGGCTGGGGGAACACTGCAGAGTAAGTGGGAAGGGCATAAGGTCTGGAGGCTGGGGAAGAGAGCTGTGGCATGCTGTCTTCTGAAGGTGCTGGAGAGGTTACGAAGGGAACTGGGAGGGAAAAAGGGAGGATGGATATGATAGTGTTTCATTGTATATTCGTGCGAGCTTCTCAAAGAATGAAAACACAATAGAAAATAATAACTTTAAAAGCTGTTGCTGTATAGCATCTAGGCACACAGCGAGGTCGTCATTAGGTGAGGTCACCCAAAGAGCCATGCAGAGTAGCAGGGACAAAAGGATTCATCTCTGCAGAGAGCCGAGATCTGAGACTCGGGACTCTCTAAATGCATTTGCAGATCAAACTGGCATCCCTTTAATGTGGATAGCTGTTGCAGTAAAAATTTCTCCATAACTAAATGATTTCCAAGCCGTGCCTGACAGCTCATTCTTTTAGAAGCAGCATTCCCCACAACAAAATTCACTCATTCTGCAGAGCATGGGAAAGACGATGGCGTTCAGAGCAGCGGGCTTTAACTAAACTAATAAATACTTTGTGAGTTTTCAAAATGCTCGGAATCCCTTTATGGCATTAATAACCAGGCACAGAGTAGGCCAGATGGATTCTGTAGGAATGAAGATATGTTGAACTTGGAGTTGGTTACTTTGTAGTTAGATTTAATAAATTAAATTAGATAAATTCTAGGGGCTGGTTAGCAGAGTGCAAAGAATATTAAAAGTCAAATCCAACAAAAAGTGTAGGGATGTAATGTTATAAGTGGGAAGTGGATGCACAAAGACGCACTAGACAAGACCTGGGTCGGCTGGCTTCTGGGAACATGGGGCCTGAAAACCTGGCTCCTTGCAGCTCTCAGAATCTGTGGCAAGCTGGCCTCATGGTGCTACAAGTCCTCCCTATGGAATCTGCACAGACCCAGGAAGCTAGCCTTTTGTACTACCCTGTTTGAGCTCACCCACTTAGAGAGCTTAGACCAGGCAACCTGGGATGTGGAGAAGGAAAGCTGAGCGTGGAGAAGTCTTTTCTCCCCAGGGTTTCCTGCCGCCTTAACTTAGAACACACTTCTCATGTTCATTCAAAGACTTCTCTTGGACAATTTTTTTCTAAGTCCAAAAGGAAAAACTGTTTCAGTGCTAGACAATAATCAAGCCCGATCAATACTCATGGGGAATTCAGGGGGAAAAAAAATCTCCTGGTTCCAACTCCATAACAGAGACACTTAACAAATAAGAAAGGAAGACAGTGCAGAGACAGAGCTGGAAGACGTGTAACTCAGGAGTGTGTGTGTGTGTGTGTGTGTGTGTGTGTGTGTGTGTGTGTGTCACGCGCAAGTCTGGGGAGGGCGGGGAGTGTAACACCAGACATTCTGGACCGATTTCTGACCTATGAGGTATGAGTGGACCTCCTGCCCGCATTCTTCCACAGCTCAGCTGTCCCTGGCATGCCAATTCCCACACCTCATTTCCTAGTCCTCATTTTGTCCCTTAGGGAATGAGTGTACAAAGCCTGGGTCTCCAGGCTAGTCGGCTTGACTTTGGAAGGGTTGCTAAACCTCTCTCTGTTTTAGGTTGCAACCTATAAAGAGGACTCTGGGTCTTCCACAGAGGTGCCCAGAGCAGTGCCTGCTGCACTCTGAGCGCCGTATAAGTACTGGCAACTTTTAAAAAAGCTGAATTAGTTTTTAAATGTTTGATAGTTTCAAGCTTGTGTACAAGTGTTGTGGTCATACCTGCTCTCCTTTATCCTCCTCATTCTTCCCAAGCAGTTCTGCTCCGACTCCCATGACGTCATCGTATTGACGTGCACCTCGTGTGCAAGTGGTCACAGCAGCTATAAATTCTTGAGTACAACCACCATGCCACCTTCGAAAGACAGCTCTCCGTAGCACACTCTTCACCATCCTCTGACTATTACGTTCCTTCGACTCTGTTTTCTTTATTGCACGTCCCAGAGGGTGATATAGATTTCCTGCAAACAGCTGTGCAAGAAAAAATCACTTTGCCCCAGTCCTTTGACCAGTTGTGAGCATCTGTGCTGAGCAGAAACATCACTCACTGACAACGAGGTACCCTGACCGAGATTTGAAACCTATGGCTACAAACGCAGATTTAGAAGTCAACTGGACTATATTTTCATGTAGCAGGGCCGACCTTCCTAGCCATAGCCTTTGAACAGATTTATAGTACTAGGCACCAACTCCCTCCCATGAAGCAGGCTTCAACTCCAGTAATAATAATAATAATAATAATAATAATAATAATAATAATAATAATAATAATAATAATAATAATAATAATAATAAGCAGCTAGTTACCACAAAAGCAGTAATGCCACTATTGCACCAATGGGCACATCTTGCTTGACAGATTAGTATTGTAACAGACCGGGTCTAGAGCTGGGAAAGGGGCTAACGACCTAATTACCCCAACAGCTTGCAAACCCCTTCTGATGCTGTGAAACCTAGATAGCAGGGAGGATCCTTCCAGCTCGGCTCCGGCTTGATTTCTGTGTCTTCTGCCCTACTTCTGTGGTGTCTTCAAGTTCTGCAACATTTCCTGCAGTTCTGACTTTACGGGGAGCTGTGACTTTAGTACCGGTACTCAGCTTGGCTTGTTTGGCCCAGGTGCCTTGGTAGACAGAGCCACATCTTGCGAGCATCCCACAGCAAGAAACACAGCCACTAAACTGCATTTTTATCACTACTAAATATTTCTAAACTATCCGAGAAAAGCGTGTTTTTAAAATAAGGTAAAGAATTTCAATTAGGCTTTGCAAAATCTTGTAAAACCATGCCCTACAGCGGCTCTCCTTGTATTAAGTGGAGCTGTATGGGAATTAATTATTAGGAGAGATGGATGAGAGCCTGTGAACCCCTCGATGGGAACTCTCACTGCTCCTGGTCAGAAACCACACCCCTGACTGAGGTCTAGAACTGCAGGGGGATGAGGGAAGGGAGGTTGTGCTGCCTAAACCTTTGCCTGATAGAGAAAAGTAGAATTTTAGGCTCTCTGCCTTATCCCCCATCCATTTCAGACTTCTTAAAATTAGGAATGTGTGTGAGAGTCACACTATCCTTGGGGCAGTTTGACTCCAGGTTTTTCCTTCAGATTGAAACTGGTACAATTCGCTTTGAGCCCCTCCCTGCAGCCAAAGATCCCAAATGCTCATGAAAATGCTGTTCCATTTAGAAAACGCTGACACTGAGACACCATGGGGCATGAAAGTCAAGACTGGTGGGCTTGAGGGCACGGCAGGTAAACTGCCAGCACCGCAATGGATGTGTCTTCAAACGCTGGTGCCCCCTCGAGACGAGGCCTTTCATTTGGCAGCACCTTTAAATGGCTGTGCATTTCAACACATAATTTCATTAATAATTATTAAGAAGGGTTTGCCTAATAACTCATTTCAGATGTTCCAAATGGACTGGATATGATAAAGAATGCTTTAAAATCTGAGAAGCATGCAGATATAACTCAGAGGCAGACTATTACAGGCTAATGTGAGAAGAGTGTCATGGAGGTAAGGTGATTTGTACCTGTAACATGCCAGAATTTCATTTTTGATGTTTTATTTGTGTTGACTTTTGAGGCCACTCTGTAAGGCAGGGGCAAAGTCCCCATGGGAACCGGAACTGATTTGCGTTATAATTCCAGTTTACATCTGTGATAGTTTAATGTCCTATGTCTCTCAGCATGTTATATGCCTGCCGATCCCATTATTGAATCTGTTCTGGGCGGGGCCATTATCTATAAGTGGGTGAAAGAGAACTGTGGGGTTCTGGGGCCTCTATATGTCAATCTCAGAGGGAAAATTCACGGCCAGCAGCTCATGATGGTTCTGTTACGAAGGACACCATGTGCAGGGTCTCAGGGGAGGATGGGATGGCTGCCATTCTATTTCCTTTAGAAAGAACTCTGCTCAGCAAGGAGTCCTCATAAGGAAGGAAGTCTCTAGGGTAGAGTTCCCAGTAGGAGATTCTTGCAAAGACCAGGATGGCAGTGCCATGTCAACTGCTCAAGCCCTGTCCTGGAGTGACAGCAGACTACCACACAAGGAAGGAAGTGAGTCCAGGCTGCAGGCCCAGTGAATACTGAGCTACTCAAGATTCAACCTACGGCCAAATGCCTACATTTTAGAACAACATTTCAAAAACCTGTTCTAACTCCTCTGCTAGGAATGATTTACCGATCCTACTCCTGGTAGGGCTTGACTCAGGATGTGGAGATGGTTTTCTCTTTTAACTAGCTGCTTCTAGTTCCCATTGCTTGGAAGGCAATGCACATGGATAAGCCCAGGAATAGGGCATTCCCAAGTCTTCAACCAGTGTACTCACTGCTGTCTCCAGAGCGTGTATCTTCAAAGGATCCAGTATGCATGGTATTGCCTTGCAGTACATATGGTATTGAACCTCCAAGTTCACAATGAAACCAGCTCCCCACTTCTAATTTAACAGCACTCCTGGGCTCGAGGCACCATGCTAAGCGCAATGTGTGTGCTTGTGCCAATGTGTATTCCTTACTCATTTCTCACAGTGACCCTGGGACTTGACGCTGTTGTTTCATTTTGTCAAGGAGCCAAGTGAGTCTAAGAGAGGTTAAGTGATTTGCTGAGGTCATGAAGCTGGTGAGCAAGGCTCTGCCATCCAAAAACTGTGTTCCAGTGCTGAAAGAAGTTAGTTCAGGGGAGAAACCCAAGGTCAGACCTGCCTTGAGCAAGCCTTATAAACTTTCTTAATTGAGTTAACTTTTATTCAAAAAAAATGCTAGACCATCTTCTTTAATGCAAGCACTGTAATATGTAATATATTGCAAGTAGTGAATATATTCTCTGCTCCAGTGAATAGATCAAGAGTACCTGTTCTTATATAACTCATACTATAAAACAGTGTAACATTGTATCATCTGTACTGTTTTCAGGTAGTAAAAATGAACCTAATAAACACACCCATACATATACTATAAAATAATATTAAAATTGTTAAAAATTTAAAAATTGAAAAAATTAAATAAAAACAATGAGACAGACATTATATTGGCAACACATGATTACTTCTATCAGGAAATGGGTACACTGAAAGGACCCTGGGAAACGGGAAGAGAGCTAAGCATCAATTTTAAATGGGATTATCATGATAGCCTTAGACTAATGGAGAAGGTGGCATTTGATTTCTGGGAAAGGAAGAGCCTTGAAAGAACTGAGGTAGTTAGTCAAAGTTGTATCAGAGAAAGGAACTCCAGGGAGAGGCCAGACAACTATCTTAAGGCAAAGCTTGCCAGACACTTTTGAAGTGACCAGAAGGACACCTTTGAAGTGGCCAGCATGGTTGGCGTGATACCAGAGAAGCGAACATCTGGATCCCTAAGGGCTTAGTAGGCTACCGTAAAGACTTTGGCTCTCACTTAACAAGAAACTGGTAGCTACTGCCAACCACGTCGTCATATTCTTGACAGCCCAGACATATTTTACACCTTGGAACCCAATATGGGACACTCTACCTGTGTGACAGTTTTGAGAACCGATCCTCTAACTGGGGCATGCACCTTGCCACTTTCTTGTGGGTGACTTTGGATGTGGAAACTTTCCTTGACTCCAGAACTAACAGACACCCAGAATCAAAAGCGTATCGGCAATGTGATGATGAGGGCCCCAAGCAAGTCCTGAAGCAATCAAGTAACCCTGTGCACAGAATGAGAAAATGGGACTACAAAGTGCTGCTTTGGTCGCTGGAGAGTGTCATGGTATGAGAATGTGGTTGAGATGTCATCATGAGAGTCTCCAGAATGGAAAACACGTGGTCCGTGGAGAATAGGGAAAAACTTAACTGGGGGTGAGGGACTGAGAACTGAGAAAGGGAGAAAGGAGGGCTCTATCTTTGACGTTCTCCTGATAGTACAGGGTGAATATTGAAGTTTGGGGAAGACAAACCCAAAACAAAAGGGAACTGGGGTCTCTGAGAGAAGACCCATATGGGATGACTGATCAATTGGATCAATTCCTTGGATCCAAATCCAATATTAATATTGATATTAGTATTCTCTTCTTCGGTGAAGAAAGGGGGCGTGGTAAGAAAGGCTGCCATGCTGTTTGCAGAAGAAAACATTCGTCTGCCCTGGGTGTAACGATAGCAGATGAAAACTCCCCAGGGGTCCGACCAGAATAGAAAAGTGACAATGAGGTCCACTGAGGCCACATGCGGGATCTTAGGAACTTGATCATAGGGGGGATTAGGGAAACAGTAGTTCAGAACATAAATAAAACCTTCAGTGTACACCAGGGAAAGAAACAAGGCCTGTGGAGTTCCTAGAAAATGAAGGACCGGATGAGGAAGTGCTTTGGATTAGGTGCAGTAGAGCCCTCTGGACAAAGGATGCTAAAACCACACCTTTTAACTAAGAGCTGGCCAGGCATAGGGAAGAGTTCTAGAAGACTGAAGGTGGGGTGGGAAGGGAAAGAAATTACGTTTCCGGCTGACTGGGGCTGTGCATTCTCCTCTGCTCTAGCTAGAATGAGTGGAATAATGTCTTCTTTTATCTAAAACCCCAGCGACAGGGCTAACTTGTAACGCTTAGGTGCTGTCTGGGGTTTTCTCACCACAGAGTCTTGTTTATAGGTGTACTGCCCTGTTTGAAATTACTGATAATGTGTGATGGCTCTTGCTAAAACTGTGAAGTTGTTCTAATTCTTGAGCTCTCTGAGACCATTGCTGTGTGTGTGTGTGTGTGTGTGTGTGTGTGTGTGTGTAAAAGTTAAAGAGGTTTCCTTAAGATTTGCTAAGAAAAATACAGGAAAAAAGGCTTAGTAAAAACATGTATACAGGAAATCTTAATTTGCCACAATATACCATATTATATATGTATATATATAATTCATTTTTAGCAAATAAAATATGAAAGAAACTATAAGCAGCAGTGGGAGAGAATTGTTGAGAAGGGCATAAGTATGAATTTATGTTTTTGGTTAAAAAAAGGCTTACAAAGAAAGAAGAATATTTTAGATATGAATAAATTTTGAATATGATTTTCTCCTAAGAGTGAAAGATAAAATGCAAGGATGAAATCATGAAAGCTGAAAGCCAAGTCGGAGAAGGTATGAGCTGGTTGTTTGCAGTGGATGAGACTTACCGATGACGTTTGCTAGATAGTCAAAGTTTATTAAAATTCCCAAAAGTTTACTGATTCGTGGTTACATTTATAAAAGCTGCCTTCAATAATGAAGAATGTCTATCTAACCAAGGCAATGACTTAAGTTTTCATCAATTTGTTAGGTTTTAACACTAGGGGAAACTGAGTCATATCAAAATCAAATTTACTTAAAACAGTAATCTTGCCCCAGCTTTAAAAGTTACACAGAAATTGAAAATTACAAGTCTGGTAAAGCTGTCCTCTTGGGTCTTCAGCACAGCTTGAAATCCTGTACCAATGAGGACTCACAGTAGTCAAAGAGGCTAGCCAATGTTTGCCCTTGCCCTCCACGGTCAGCTAGGATCAGGTATGAAAGAACGACCCCTAGATATTGGTCTCTCTCCAGTGTATACATTCTACTAAAGGGGAAGGGACTCACTGGGGACTTCAGTCTATGTATAGTGCAATATGAAAATTATCATTGTATTAGTGTCCAGATCTTGTTAACTAGGTAGGTACAGTTGTAAACTTGCCAAAAGAATCTTTTCAAGAGCTGAAAATAGACTCCAGGTGAGAGGTGTCCTGCGCTGACACTCTTGCAAAGTATCCTTGCGGACTCCATAAAAATCCCTACAGCAGAAGAAATGAAAATATTTGCTGGTGATGGAGACTCTCTCTGGGGGAGGAGGGCCTCCCTGCAGGCTGCTTTTGTTGATCATACATTGTCTGGGGCTAGAGAGATGGCTCAGTGGTTAAGAGCACTGCCTATTCTTCCAAAGGTCCTGAGTTCAATTCCCAGCAACCACACATGGTGGCTCACAAATATCAATAATGAGATCTGGTGCCCTCTTCTGGCCCACAAGCATATATGTAGGGAGAACACTGTATACATACGTACATACATACATACATACACACACATATACATACATACACACATACATACATACACACACATACACACATACATACACACATACATACATATACACATACACACATACACACATACATACATACACACATACATACACACATACACGCATACATACACACATACATAGATACACACACATACACATACATACATACATACATCTTTTAAAAAATACGTAAAGTTATCTTAGCATTTCATTCCCTCATGTTTCATTTCTCCCTGGGAACTGTGCTGCTCCCTGTTATTCAGTCATATAAGACTGGGAGGCAGTGTTCTAGACAGAGTTAGGCATAGACTACTTCGCATTAAAAATAAATACCCAGTGGGGACCCCTCACCCCCACTACTGGGTGTGCTTGTCTGATTGAGCACAACTCTTCACCTTCCTAGAGAAGTAAAAATTGTGCCTTGTTAAGATGCTTTATATTGTGTGGTTATTTTCTTGGGACCCAGGCCCAATTC